CAAAATATATGATAAATAACGTCAATGCTATGTGATTCTAATACTATAATGTGAAGATAGGAATAATCAGATCTTACCCCTATCATTCCTGGCAAACAGGAGTAATATACTCGTGGCAGTAGATAATAAAACTGGGAGATGGAGCCTATGTAGCAGGAACTCTGGAATTCGCTTCCGTTTCTGCAAATTCCCTCAAGATTGTATCCACCTCTTCCACAACCCCTAGTTTTCTAAACCATGCCGCCAGTGTTTCTGCAGCTTCTTTCCCAACCACGATACCATCTCTCTCCAACGCCATCAGAAATTTTAATGCCTTCTGAAGTTTATTCTCTTTTTCATAAGCAGCCAACACTAGAGCTATACATTTATCAGTCGGTTTAATACCCGCCGTCCTCATGTTTTCAAATGCAACACGTGCCTTTTGACTTTGACCTGATACACCATATGCATTTATGAGAAGTCCACATAGCTTATCATCCGGAGAAATACCAGCTAGCTGAATTGCATTGAACACTCTTTGAGCGCCTTCAGTATCACCAACCATTGAGTATGCTCTTAACAACGCCTTGTAAACTTCACTTCCAGCATAAATCTCTTGGGCATCCATTTCTACGAGTAAACTCTCTCCTTGATCTGGCACTCCAGCTCTAATGTAGGCCATGATCATTGAGCCATACGATCTTTTATCCAAGGGCTGCCCAAGGAGCTTAACTTCTTCAAAAGATTCTTCAGCCAGCTTAACATGTCCAGCCTTGCTATACATGTCAATCATGGCAGTTAGAGTTACCTGATCACATATGAAGCCTCTAGCCTTCATGTTTGAAAGGGTTTTAACAGCATCCTCAATTCGGTTTTGCTTCCCATAACCATGAATTATTTTGGTATAGTCACGAAGATTGGCTTCAAAAGATTCTTCTAGTACAGCAATTTCTGCCACCTATGAACAGTTCAATAAGCCATGGACTTCAGGTTATAAGTGGCTAACAATTTCAAAAAATTTCACTTGCATGTGCAGGAACATAAAGTTTCAGGATATGATACAACTTCCTTAAAAAACTGTAACTTTTAGAAGTTCAAAAATTTCGAAGAATTCTGATACATTGGCTCCAACTAAACTATGTCAAGTACAAAGGACATTTCAATTTGCTCAAAACTTCGTCAATATAAAATGCGATTCTCCCACATTTTCCTTTGCCAATACCTGTTTATTGGTGGAGGAACTGAAAAAAAAATTTCTTTGTGTGCTATAAGAAAAGCTAAGAACTAGTTATTTATCTGTTAACAAATACCAAATCCAAGCCATAAAAATTTCGCATATAAGCGGCGTAGTTTAGTTACAAAAATATGAAATTTGTAAGTGAACTTGTTGATAACAATAAAGCATATAATGAATAAAAGTGGGAAGAGGAAAAGATCCTGAAAGAGATGGAACACTTCCAATAGCATTGC